TTCTATGTGACCGAAATATATTGGATCACGCGTAAAGACTATAATGATCCTTTTAAGATTTTCGCCAGAATTGGATTGGGTGCAAATGGTGAAATCGTGGTTGAAGAACAAAATACCTAAAATCCTAATGTTTGAATTCACATTTAACCCTATCTACTGAATGTTTTATTATAGCCCATATAATTTACATAGTGGTTAGAAAAGCTGTTGTATAAACGAAATTATAAATTAAGATGACGAATTATTAATCATTAGAATAATCGTCAAGATGTAAAATATCTTTTGCCACGTATTCCTTCTAAACAAATATTTACAACACATAATTTATCCAATGTCTTAACTCTTACAAACGTTTTTAGCATTCTCTTCTTCCTCCATAAGAACAAATGTCTTACAATCGCTTCTTCCTTTCTCCACATCAACGGTATAAATTATAAATATTGGTATCACCAGCAAAACAAGTAAGAACCAATACGAATTTCTCAAATCTTTGGTGCCATTTGTAATTATCGCCGTTATTAAAGGTCCGATACAGCTTGATCCCTATTTCAGGATAAAAATAGAAACGTTAATTGAATTGGGGGGGGTTTCAACATGCGAATCAAAAGAATGCAGTACCTTGGCAGTGATCTGAAATAATGAAAAAAACTCATTTTCATGACCCTGCGGTATCAACAGGGCAAATAGCGAATTACAGTAGGATTGAATGACTCCTATGTGTAAACCAAACCATACTATATATACCCACACCTCCATTTTAGAAACCAATCCGAACGGCAACCAAAACCCGAGTATAGCATATAACGGTAATATAGCAAAGAAGAACGATAACACTATTATCAGCGTTCTAATGGTTAGATTAAATCCCTTTTGAATAAACAGATAGGCATAGATGCCAATTGCCGCACATATAGGCACAATAATGGCAAACAGGAGGAGTTCGACATCGGTCATGTGAAGACGTTTTTTGCCAAAGAGGACACAAACTGTTACGAGGGTGTTGATGCCGTCCGAGAGTAAAAACCAAGCAACCAAGAACTTTATTGTTTGCCAGAGGTGGCGGGTCGAACTAAGAGTCTTATAAACTCGTTTCTTTTTAAAGAAAGTTAATTGGTTAGGCGATTAAGTCTCTGTAAAGTAATTAAAAATTGGTGAAATTGACACTCACCCAAGGGAACAGGATAACATTTTCATTTCTAAGGAAACCGAAAAAAAGGGAGTATATTGAATCAAGAAAACGTCATAATTAAATGGCTTTTTCTAATATAACCAGGTATATATAAAAATGACTCACGCAGGCAGAGGAGGTCCTGTTCGGTTGACTAACCACCAAGCCGTAAACGTTAACCATACCAGCCACCAAAAACCCGAGAATCCAAGTGCCAGCTGTAAACTATAAGTTGTCTGATTCAACGCCACCGATATTCCAATGCCACAAAATAGCACCACCTCGCCAGCTACGAACCCCCAAACCATTGACGTCGATGCAAATTTTGTAGCCAATTCATCTTCTAGCTTTCTTATTTGTACCTCGGAATTTTCGCGGTTTTCTCTCTTTAGTTCTAGAAAGTCGGGATGAGCACGTACGTATGTCGGGATATATGCCAAAAAGAAAACATATGCTGCGCCGTAACAACAATTTCTAGAAAGAAGTATAGTAAAGGTGAGCTAATGTGTAAAGAAAAGAGGAAGTAATAAAGATTACATACGATAAGACGGTGAGCACTCCGGCTAACCAGTATAGGTTTTTAGAAACGGAGGGGAAAATTAGCATAAAAGCCATGGTTAAGATCGCACCGATGTAAGAGAAAGTTAATAGGAACTTTTTTCGTGAATCTACAATACATTTCGATTAATTCACGGTAAATATTGTGGACATTGTAAGCTAACCACATCGAAAGTGAGTGCTACATACTCCCATAATCAGCTAACGAAGCACACCCGATAAACAGAATTGCTTGAAAGAGTACGGATATTGCGATCACGTATAGTGAATAGGAGGATGTGTCAACATAACCAGCACCGAATTTTACGACACATTGATAATCATTGACCGTCTACATTTATTTTGTTTCATAAACAATGTTCGAAAGAAAGCATTCATGTATCAATTCGTGGAAAATATATTTACAGTATTGCAGGGGGTTTTTTGATCGAGCTCGTAGCCTGCTTGAGCTGCCAAGTTTTCCAATATCACGGGGATAAACACTAAAAAAAAAAAAAAAGAAATTAGAACAGAGTAGATCGTGATAAGACCGACGATTGCTAAAGCTTATCGTACCCGATATAGCGGCCACGTCATATGTGCCACACTGAAAGACGAGAGGTCAATAAATATTTACGGAATTAAAAGAAGATACATAAAGAATTCAAATTTTTTAACTTACAGCCACATTATGGATATACCATCCTTTCAATTCTCTAGAAGTTAATGGCTGTTCATCGACGACTGAAGTCTTTTCCTCTTTCTCTAACGACATTGAAAGTATTCTCAGGAAAAGATTGTTTTTTTTTTTTGATTTTTTTTCCCATTGAAACTGGGGTATATATACAGTAAAGTAATAAATGGGTGGTACGTATTTGGCAATTTACAATTTCTGAATTACATACTTTTCAAACCAATAGAAAATTTTGAACATTGTTCTTATTTCAGTATTATTTATTTTGACGCACATTGTGTGATACCAGTTTGGCGGATATGGATAACAACATTCTTATAAACAACCTTAAAATCAATGACTTTTTGTAATATAGTTATATTGTTATTATGAATCCTGCTTCAATAACGTATTAAAAACACGAAAAAAAAATTTTCAACTCACTTAACATTGTCTTTCATTTCGTCCATTTTTAATCCTTGGAGAAATCTCAAATTTAATGAAAATCGAATCCCAGGTCAAGCCACCATTGTAATAGTGATATTTACTAAATATATCGTGAATGTTTTTGCGTACATATATCGTCATATTCATTTTATTTACCTAAAATATTACTTGAATCATGGGGAAAATTGATTTTATAATTAAAAATTCCGAATTAATGAAGATGGACAAAATTAATTAAAGAATTGCTTTTTGAATTAATCAGTTGTCGCAGAATTTTTTTTTTTAAATCAAATAGAAAATGTGATCGCGCGGCTAGTAAAATCTAATGAGCGCTTTTTTTTTCTTTAAATTATGATGTTCGCATGTATGCACATGCTGTATCACACGGCATTCGATTTACAGATTGTCCGTATTTGTTTCCTTTACAAACTGATATTAAATTAACTGCCATAATTGGTGGTAACCTTGAACATTATTCTTGTTTAATAATTCACAAAACTTCGAATATTGGCTTTTCCTCAAAATCCGGTTCACGTTAATCATGCGTTCCTTCCAGATATTATTTTAAAGGTCCGGCATGGAATCATGGGAAAAGGAAATTTATTTAAACGATAAAAGGATAATGTACCTATTTTGTTCAAGTGATTCGAGTTCTATGGATTTTCTCCATCTTCCTGACCAATATTTCCCCGTGTATTAATTATATATGAATTGTAACCGTATTTGCCACATTTGGTATCAAGAATTGGGTGGTTTTATGTTTGATGAATATATAATCCATTTTGTATTCAACACATTTTCACATCACTTATGGACACCTCAGAGAAAGGCATTATTTACCAAGTAATAGCTTAGCTTATTCTTGACGAATAGGCGCATTCAACTTGGACTATATATAAAATTGAAGGTTTCATCAAACGCATTCAACGACTATCATATCAATAAAAACAAACATTAAGAGTGTGTGGACTTGGAATGATAACAATCGAAGAAATATTTTATCATGAGATTTCTGCGAAATAATTTCTTTTCGTTTTTATTGCTGACGACAAGATTGTTGTGGAGTGTTCGTGGAGACCGTAAGTTTTCTCATTTGTTAATATTCGGTCTTAAGTAGAATTGGTTTTACTGACCGGGGAACAATTGATTTTTATTAATGCAGCAACATGCAGACCTTACCTTGATGACGGTGTATGCTCTGTAAGTATATACGTGTGATAACTGAATTTTATCGATTGGTCGGATGTCCCCTGTATGAATCAATTTCTTCATTCAACTAGAATTATATAACAAGTGATGATTATATCTATCTCAACGGAACGGTGTCGCTTGAAGAAATCGAGATTTCGCTGGGGAACCTTAAAGTCGCTCAAGGACTTTCATTGATGGCCGGTAATTCCTCGTTGTGCATTGATGCGTTCACGAGCTATGCGTGTGGCGTGGCCTATCCAAAGTGCTTCAAGAATGAATCGTCTCCTAATTGTATGTATTGATCGTCATATTACTCTTTGTTGGTAACTCGTGACTTACTGTACGTACGTACGCATACGCTCTCCATGCTATGATAGCCTTGCCGCAAGCCGTCAAAATCAGCCTCCCTTGCCAATCGACATGCACAAATGTAAACGAGCAATGTTCACAATCTACGGATCCATTAGTATTAGTTTATATCAAACCATTATTTTTGTATCCTAAGAACTGTTCCAACATCAGTTCCACACCACCTTTGAACGTGCAGTTTCCGACTTCCAACTGCAACTCCGGCAAAAAACTCAAGTCCACTCCACGATGCTTCCCCCCCCTCGTGGAAGACACCTTGTTCACAAGCAACAATTCGCAGACCCTGGACGCTGATTACTGCAGATTTGGTTGTTGCCTACCTTGTCCCCAACCTTATTACCTGTATCCGAGTGGTTATATGGAGAAA